CTTCATCTGGTAGAGGAAAACATAAATATAGCAATTATTTTATGATATAAGCAATATATAATATATAGATATGATAAAAATGCATTTTAGTATCACAAATAATTTTTTATGTTAATCTTTTAAAAATCTAATTAAATATAAAAAAAAAACTTTTGTTTGTAGTACTGCCCTAGCGTTTTCTTTCTTCATGACAACAACTGGAACGATATATGATATATTTGTGTATCAAAAATATATAAACAAAAATATGACAAATAATAATACAACTGATAATGGTATGTAAAATCTTTAAAATAATTTGTAAAATGAAAAATATTTTTCGTTTTAACAAACTTATCGTCTTCTTATTATACACACTTCATTTTCAAAAACATTTCTATTATACGCAATGAATTTATTAAAATTATTAATTATATATATATGATAAATTTCAATTTTCTTCATCATTAATATAAACATTTTCTTATTTAATTGAGGCATTTTTGTTTTTCAGTTAATGTATTATTAAGAATCGAAAAGTATAATTTAGACGTAAAAAACATGATCAAGAAAATAGAAATGGAACAGATTTATCTCCATATCGAAATAGTAAAATTGAAAAAAATATTAATATGCTTCTCCGTTTATAGAAATACGAGAGAAATGTTTAATACAAAACTAAATGCCGGTAAAATACCTGTCATTCACGGATTAAAATTTTTAAGTATGTTATGTCTAATTTTTGTCCATACTTTTTATTTCTCAGCAGAATTTGTCAGTAAGTACTTTACAATATTGAAACGGTAAACATTTTAAGATCTGCATAATGGAATTTATTTCGTGAATACAGATAATAAAGGATGGTTTCTGAGATATAATGGCAATTTTTGGATTAGTTTATTTGATACTTTAATGCTATCAGTCGATATTTATTTTCTTTCGAGCGGTTGTTTAGTGACTTATTTATATCTGAGAGATAAAACTAATAAAGAATTGATTAAGCCAATTGGTTACAGACAAAAATTAATGACTTTTTCTGTATATATTATAACGACACCCGACTCACCCCCCTCAATTACTAACAATTTAATATTATTTGAACAATTGTTAACAGTATTAAATGTCCCCGACCGATCAACCGTCGGGGCGCCGACACGGCGATCCTTCCGCGATCCCACCGTCGAGAAAAGCCTGTCGAACAGCGGACGCGGCAAATCGATGATCACGCGGCTTCACGTGCGCGCCGTGTGAGACAATAGACACACGGTGAGGCCACCACCGCCGGCCCCGCTACCGACCGCGCCACCGAACATCCTCGCGGAATTCCCGAGCGCGTTCGGCGAATTACCGCGGGGATTCCGACGAGACATCCCCCGGAAACTACCCCGACCCGAGTCCGGCCGACCCGTTCCCGACGAAACCCGACCGATGGCCGGCTCGGGTATATTAAGCGAGTCCGGGAGATAAACGAGACCGATTCCCAGCGAGACAGTTACCAGTCCGACACTGCTCTCGATATTCCGAATCCTCTCCAGAAAAAGCGATCTAGGGTGCTACCTATCGTGCCAGGAGCTTCTGGCCGATCGCTCCTCTAAATATCCACCAGCGCACAAGTACTCACAGGTTGAGGAGCTTCTCAACCTGGGCTCCAAAGAAAGCCTTTGTGCACATATTCCTTTGACGATCAAGAAGCAGGAAGCTTCCTGCATTCAAGTCGTCATAAGCCTTACACACAGCTGATCCGTCATATCAACACTCGCAGCTGATCCGTCAAAACAAGCCGGCCGAAATCCCCGCGCACCGTCGCGCCCGCGCCGCGCCTATCGAAGAACGCGACGAAATTCGGAGAACCGACCGCGAGCAAAAACAATTGTATATAATACGTGGAAACCGCGCGTCTTTTCGCCGTACCAACGGCGAAATATCTGTAAATACTGTAAATATAAAAACAGCCAGTCGGCATTATAAATATAAACCTGACAAAACCGATCGACGCTATCCTGCAAAACCGAGCGACGCGGAAATAGAGACGTTTTAATATAATAAAAAGATTTATACGGTATGTATTTCCTCACTTAGATAATAAGGTAGTATCAATAAAATGTTTTTAAATTCTTTTTTTTATTTTTTATTTAATTGATAAATAACGATTAAATTATGACATAACATTATCTTGATAACAGTATGTATTATGTTATTTTACGTTGATTGATATCAAATATTGCAAAACAATGTAATAGCAACGTTATCCTTTAAAAACAATTATAATTGAATATTATTTAGAAAAGTACAGTAATTGGGAAAAATTTTAATTTATTTGTGATCCAATGTAATTTATTTTATTTCTATAATTAGAATTTTATTTTAAGGCTAACTCCGACTTACATAATGACATTAGGAATATTCTTATTGAGTTCAATTAAGTTGCATAAGACTTCACAATTTTATATGTACGAGAAATCATATGAAACTTGCAAGAAGTACTGATGGAGAAATATTTGTACATAAATAATGTCACGTCACTGGTGGCG